GGGTCTAGAGGTTCCAGTTGACGCGAACTTCGCATCTCGGCTTTTCTCGAAGTGCTCGTAGCTTTTTATATCACACAGGAGGTTGTTCACAAAGTGGAGTGTTCGATTCCGGATAGCGTAACTCAGCCGTCTCAACAGCTGTCCTGTTATGACCTCTTCGTTCGTTTCTTCTACGTTTACTCCAAGACGAAGGCAGAGTTTTTCTTTTTCGCGAACGTATGTTTCATGACACTCGCCTTTTCACTGGACTCGTTGCTCTATGATTCGCCATTGTTAAATTTTGGTTGGTGGGCACACAAACGCGTCCCGAAACGGCGCTTCCCAGGCAGACTAGGTTTCGCATGCCATACAAGTTGACTGCTGGCTATCGTGCGCGGGTCGCGAAAACTTGAGCTTCGCCATAGTGATTTTTTCGTCGTCGTCCCATCTTGCCAAGTCGGCGACCTGGATGAATTCCGTGATCCGCTCGTTGGCCACGATATCACCCTCAAGGCCCGTGAGCTTGGGAACAGCTGCCAACGTGTCTGGAGCCACCTGCATGGCGATGTCCAAAGGCGCTGGTCGACTCATCTGCGACAGCGTCAGGCGTTCAAGGAGTTCTTGATTCTGGCGCAACATTTGAGCCATTATCTCCATCACGACCGGAGCATTGTCATGAACTGACAAGGCGGGCTTAAAGTCCTTCTTCCAGATTGTAGGTCACTTGAGTTTGAAGTTCCGACGTAGCGTGGTCTCACTGCGTCACACATGGTTTTTGGTTAGGCTTCGCAGCGTTGGATTCTTGTCGTCGTTGACGTACCACCACAACTCGTCGCCGATCCATGTCAGCAGTAGTTGTATCCACATTCTGATTGTTATGGAAAACTGGTGGTTTATTTAGAAACTCATAATGAAGTAAACTGATACAAACTCGGACTTGTGGTGCGAGCAGGATACCCGTCCAAAGGCCTCGGTGGTCTTAGTACAATATGGCGGATACTCAAAAGGGGTGAGGTCCATCACACTAATACTGACGCTAACACATAGAACATGTTAGGATAATCTGTATACTTCTGAACCCCCAAGGAAAATATTTATTATTATAATTTTCCATAAATTATGGCGTAGTAATGGGCTACTATTAATATGTCCTCAGAACTTTCGTCTACGGCATACTGACTTCACCATTTTGTAACTACTAGGTTCAACAAAACGTCACAAAACAACTATACCACCTGCTACTTTGTTGCTACTTCGCTGCTGCATTGTTGTTTAAAAATGGCCCTAGCATGCAGCACAAGGTCAGACTTTCGCCAGAGCTCAAGTCTGCTGCTACGCCAACATGGACGCCGCGACGCCCTTTCTTGAATCTTTTGTTTTGGCACAAGCTCGCAATAATAAATTTTTAGTTTTCTCAGTTATGATTATGTTTCTTTGCTTGTCATTCATGGCATTTCTGGAGCAGGTGCAGGGTAACGTTTACCCACACTCAACGCTCGTATAAAGACGACAACGACGATTCCCAATGAGGGCTACGAAGGCTAGTGAACTAAGACGGGAAGAATTGCGAACGATGACCACCGACCACGAAGAGCCACGTCAAACGGTGGCGAGCTGTGACGAACGAAGACAAACCACGACGACGGTTTACGACGACGATCTAAGACGATGACCCACGATAACGACCTAGGCCGATGACCTAGAACGACGACCATGGACGACGACCTTCAACGACGACATACTACGACGCCTGCAACACTGGCAACCAATGTTGATATCGAACGACAAGTAAACATTCTCACGACAAATGCAGCCCCAATGAAGTACCCGACGAAACATTAACCACGATGAACTGTGAGAATGTCAAGACATGCAGGCGGGGTTTAGAGCGTAGAACACACAATGATGCTCCTTACGAAAACCGTAGCCTGCGGAAGCGGAGCAGACTATGCTCACCTTTTTCCACCAGTAGGTCATGGTAAGCCAAAAAAAAAAAATGACTATAAGGACAATGGACTAGCCGGCACTGCACAGACTGTGACAAAATTTTCAAAAATGCTAATTTATTACAAAAGACACCAGTGACTTCAAATATACGTAATCAGAATGAAACTTTAAAAAAGCAGATAATTTCATTGGGATCTGCTTGCCAGCCAATTCGTAAAGAACCCTAATTTTTTGTCATTAACTTACGGAGTATAAGACGAGTAAGTTTATGTTAACACTATTTGAAAGTCTAGTTAGAGACTGGCTACATTATGCGTATATAACTTCAGACATCTTTAATATAGATTTATAAGCGAGCAAAAATGACATGCATTTTCAGCATTCCGGTAATATGCCGTTAGTCTACTTGTAGAAAGAGGATGCCAGCTGGGCGTAAGACCTGTTTTTCTCCATTGTCAAAGAACCAGCCGGACCAGTGGCACACACCATATCTTCGATCGACATGGTGCTCAGACTAGGTTACAAGCAAGGCCGCAAGCTTGGAGACCTCAAGGCCCGCTTCCGGGAAAACCGCCGCCCGGCCAACACTGGCGTCGACCCCTGTAGCCGCACCACGGATGTGCTAGACTCCCTGCGTCGCCGGAAATTCGACCGGATTGTCTGGAAGGCTGGCACGCCGGGATTCCTCACAAGGCGCTCGAGATTGGCCTGCCAGAATAGAAGTCAGCAGTCCATGGCGGCTGCAAAGACCACCGTCGCGAAAACCGCTGCTGGGCCTGACGCTCTTCACCCTCTTCAGCCGCAACGTCAACCGCTCGCTCTCGTCTACAAGGTTCATTTAAACCTTGACCACCATTCTTTTCATTACCCTGGACAAAACCATTTCATCATCGTTAGACGCCGCGCTGTGGGCCGCCACGGTATGGGCGACTTGTCTTCCTGCGGCGCCGCGGCCAAATAAATATATATTTTTTGTTTAAAATCCACTTGCCTTTTTATTTTTAATCAAACAAGCCAGAGAGTAAGAATCACGCTCTTGTGAATCACTAGTTTGATGCCCTTAGTTATGTTATTTTTTCTGCACGTAAACTGAAGATGCCGCCCGAGGTGCAAGCTAATTTCTTGGAATGGCGGTTATAAAACTTCTATGCTGTTTGTATTCATAGGATACCCGATATATTATTCCGAATAATAAAAGCATTTTATGCCCCAGCTACGAGTAAAATGTTTACATCGCCACGCTCAGAGCACAGATGACTCTGAGAGCATCTAAAGCTTCTTTTTATTCGTACAAGATGTGGTGGGGATACTCTAAGCAATTGTGAAAATTCTCTTCACAAATATGCCTCTTGACATGCTATCGTTTTTCAAAGTATGTTCTTCATGATTCTACAAAAATGTAGCGGAGAAGCCAGCATATCGGAGACAGAGATAGAAATAAATTAATGAGCGTGATCTACTTAACTGGATACCACAAACATGACAAAGAGATCAGCCAATATTCACTTTCGTTAATTTTCATCCACATAACACGCAAGAAAGAAAAGTATAAATAAAGTTCTTCAAGCTTACCTTTATAATTAAAGCGTGGTTTACATTTATACCTCATGTAGTTCTTAAAATAATTATTATTATCTTGATTGATATACGTCTATGACGTTTATGTTCGAAGCTACGCAATGATAGTTGTTTTACGTCCCTATTTTGAACAGTTCATTTTCTACAGCTTTCTGAATTCGAGCAGAAATTGAGCAGGTTTGCCAGTTCGTGTTGTACAAAAGCTGAAATAATTAACCTAAACTAAACCTATCGTTGGTCGCAGACACTACTACAGGAAAACTAAAGAGAATGCTGCGTAAAGAAAAGTCTGTAAACAACAGCTAAGCATAAAAGAATCCAATCGATTTCCTTTGCATTTCTTCACCCAGTAAATTCTAATTTTCTCTTTCAAATTGTCTTCATGTAGTTTTCAAAATAAATTTAGTTAATTATAGAAAAAGGCTATCCCATAAATTTTATTTTAAGTTAAGTTAAGTTCACACATGGACCGCACCCCGGAATGAGTGCTGTAATTAAGCACCGAATCTAGAACGGATTGAAAGCTGCATTTCCCCTTTTAACCGCTGTGGTTCTTTCCATGCAATCAGATGTACCGCGAAGGAGCTCGCCAAATTTAAGCCAATTTTATGAGATTCCATGCTGGCGATAGAAACGCTCGTGATGTCGAGTTTCATTTTGTCTGCTGGCACAGTGAGGTAACAGCATGTTCAAGGAAATGTAAGTTTTAACGATATTGGGCCAAGCTCAGTACTTCGACGGAGCTCATTTGCTTAAACTATCGTACAAGTTGTTCTCAACCATTTTACAATACTGCAATGACAAGCCCTGTGATACCCTTCTAACATCTTCACATCAAACTTTAAGCGGTGCCGTAGGAACCACAAAGCAGCGCGCCAGAGAAACACGAAATATGGAACAAGTAGAGCAATCCTAGGGTAATAGCTTAGACTATTAAGGTTCTGCATAAAGTGTTAGTTATTGCCAAAATATTTTTCTTCCGTTTCTACGGCGTTTTTTTTTGTTCGCCACCTAATTACCAAAGTGCCAAACAATATCCAAAGAAGCCAGATGGGAACCAAACGACCAGACAGGACAGTACAGCCTAACACTGACGGATGTTTGGCAATATATGTCAAAAATTCCATAAAAACTCTGGGCCAAAATTATTAAGTGTGAATATACTTAGATTTTTGGGGCTTCCAGGGAAATAATTTGCCAAACGAAAAAATATTGGTGCTAAGAGCTGTGCTTTTTTGGCACGAACCTTTTTATATTAGTTTTATTATATAAAGTGACGCACGAATGCTAAATTTTTTGCTGTTTCCAGGGATCTACTAGAGATTAATTAGCGGCGTGCTGCATATTTCAGCAGGCCCCAAGTCTGGTTACCGAACATGACAAATTTGGTCGAATTTAAATAAAACCACCCATGCGATAACTCCATATAATGAGCTATCACCAGCATGTTGATTTTATAAAAGCGCTGAACATAAAAAAGGAAATACAATACTTACAAATGAAAGGTCCTCCTCAAAGTCGAATATAGAATTGGCGACTCCTTGTGCGTCTCTGACTTTCGGGTCAATTGCAGTTATCATTCGCGCAATGTACTCCTTGTAAGCAGTTTTTTGCGCTGCAGTCAATGCCTGCAGAGCTTGCCCACTAAGCGGATCGGTCGACGGTTCTTTCAGCTGAAATATTATACATATTTTTGACTATAATTGCTCTTTATGACTATTCTGATAATGTGTATAGGTGGATTATTTGTTCTGTTTTGGGATTCATTAAGATGAACGCTTAATTAATCAGATCCATGAGTTTAGGAACAACGCACCCCTCGAACATTAAGTAAGGCACGCACCTCTAGCACTTCCAATGTGCCCCTGTAAAGAGGCACTCTAGGCATTAGTATGGCGATTTGGGCCAGTTTATTTTATTTGATTTGTGATCGTAGATAGGCGCCGGAAAAGCACAAGGATAAGAAGAGAGTAGATTGGCGCCGAAGAAGGAGAAGGACAAGCGCCAGTGTTTACATCTCTTCTTTTCCTTGTGCTCTTTTGGCGCCTATCTGCGAGGCGCCATAAAGTTGGATATTGCTAAAATGTTACCATTCATTTGTTTTGTTTCTTCTCGAAATTACATGATTAATGTGATTTGTCATTTAATTTTGCAGGCATGTTGAACTAAAATAAAAAGAGGTACATAAATGTTTTTCTTTCTAACAATAATTAGCAGAAATCGTTTAAAATGCAAGATGTGTAAATCAGTAGATAAAATGAGTACATTTATGTTTTTCTTATAGTTTTAGTTCTGCTGCTTGTACCCCACGCTGCAGGGGTCATGTAAAAATCCTGTAGTATCTACCGAAAAATAAACAAATGAATCTAATAATTATATTCTAGTTTGAATCGTAGAATTAGAAGCAAACTGAACTTTGTCTCAACACAAGAACATACGTTTGGCTTCACGCTCGATTATTCTACAGAGGAGCGTTTTCCAGAATGGAGCTCATGCGCACTATTTGCTGCTTCCAATTATGTGTAATACGGGTGTTGATTTTTTGTACATTTCCCCGTGGCAGACAGTTCAAATTAAATTGCCCAGCAGAAAGTTACCACCCCAAAGAGAGGGGTCACGGTAAATGCACTACAATGTGGATGATTGATGCACGTTTCCTCTTTTGCGTTCAGATGGTTTGCACGTGCTTCACCATGCCAACAAAATCAGCCGTTCCGAGCTTGCGTGCTCACGAAATCACAGTGGGAAATAAGCTACCAGCCATCAACTGGAACTAATCGCAACCTTATCTATCGCTGACCAAGGTCTTCATTCTTTCCCAACTGTATAATAGGGCTGCGATATTATCAACGGCATCAGTAGCGCCACACGTTAACTAAGATCAGTAACGCTTTGCAATTCGCTTCTGCGGGCAGGATAGCAATGTTACTTTTCAACATTTGTTTAAAAATCAAACAATGAATACCCTTTAGTGTTTTAATGCACATAATGGAAGGCTTAGTTTGTGCAGCGAAAGCGAGAAAAATTAAGGCCTGGCTACTCGAGAAAAGCAAATTTATGAAATTTTTCACCAGCGAGGATTTTTCACCAGCAGTACGCGAGGCACGGTGGAAACTGATTGAGTTTGCGAAACAACAAGGAAAGCAGTACAAGATGCGCTCGAACAGATTAGTCATTGATAACAAAACATTTTGTTTCAACTCTGCAAAAAACAGTATACATGAAGAAAAAAAGCCATTGGAGATGTGTACACGCCGCCGCCCACCCCAGTCTTTTCAAGTACGCAGAAACACCCAGTCATGTTCGGTCGTTTTTACAAATATAAGTGTTTTAACGAATTGCGACGACCTATTATCACTAACTGAATCATGCACTGCCGACCTCGTCATTCTGACAAAAGCGTGGCTGAAACCCGAAATTGCTGACTCAGAAGTGTTCCCCCCAATATGAATTGTACCTTACACAGATGCGACAGACTAACAAAGAAGGGTGGCGGTGTCCTAATCGCTATCCGCAATCATATTAGTGCGTCACAAGTTAATGTTCCAGGTAACCTCGATATGGTATGGCTTCAACTTCACTCTCAGTGTTCCGATATCTTGATTGGTGTGTGTTACAGAGCATCCGATCATCACGCTAGTTTCATTAGCGAACTTCATGACTCCCTTTCGTTGATCTTTAATACCCTTAAACCAACTGCATTGGTCATCCTATTTGGCGACTTCAACTTTCCGAATATTGATTGGAACTCTCTTTCAAAAGGTCATCAGTTTGATAATGAGTTCATCGACCTAGCTCTCACGTTTAACCTTTCCCAAATGATAACTAAACCAACAAGAGTACCCATCACTCTAGCAACATTCTTGACCTGTGCCTTACTACTGACCCCTCACATGTGAATAACATCACTCATCTTCCCGCTATTAGTGACCACGATGTTATACACTTAAACCTGCAGTTTGACGTCGTCATCAAATCATGCCATTATAAATTTATTAAAGACTACAATAAAGCTGACTATGATACAATTAATAGAAATCTTCAACAGTTTTATGATACTTTTCATATCAACTTTCATCAAAGAACAGTTGAGAAAAAATGGAATCTCTTTAAAAACAAGGTAAGACCTCTGACTGACACGTACGTTCCAACCATCAGAATTAAAACGAACAATGCGAAGCCTTGGTAAAACAAGAAAATCTCCAAATTAAGTGCTCGGCAGAAACGACATTTCAAGCAAGCTAAAGAGAAGGACAATACTATTGCATGGGATAATTACAACGCGTCTGCTAAGGAATATAAAAGAGAAGTGAAAAATGCAAAGAAACCATTTTTTAACTTCGACCTTCTTAACATTTTAAAGAATATGCCTAATAAGTTCTGGGAGAACATTAATCCTGAAGAGCACAATTCCATCCACCTGACTAATATGAATGGAACTCCCGCATCTGATAGTGAAAGCGCCTCACTAATAAATACCTACTTTAGCTCAGTATTTACACTAGAAAACAATGACAGTATTCCTCTCCTAAATCAACTTTCTCATTCTGCTATGCATTCTATTGAAATAACATATTTAGGTATAGTGAAAGCGATAGAAAATCTCAAAACTTCTGCTAGCTCCGGCGATGACCAAATAAATTCTAAATTGCAGAAAAACACAAAACATATCTCATCCCAATTTTATTTTTCAACAGTCACTTGATGTCGGCAAGCTTCCGTCTGACTGGAAAATTGGTAGAGTCATCCCTATTTTTAAAAGTAGAGATCGTAATGTTGTATCGAACTATCGCCCAATATCTCTCACCAGCATCTCATATAAATTACTAGAGCACGTCATTTTCTCTTCTATCATGAAATATCTGGAAAATTACGATCTGCTTTTTGAAAATCAACATGCTTTTCGTAAGACATATTCGTGTGATACTCAGCTAATACATTTCATTCATGAGCTTCACAGTAACCTTGACAAGAGATTACAGACCGATGTCATTTTCATAGACTTTTCTAAAGCATTCGATAAAGTGCCCCACCAACGTCTGCTACAAAAACTAACCCAACTGCGTATTCATAATTCAGCAATCACTTGGATAAAAAAATTCCTATCCGATCGTACACAATATACTGTTGTAAACGAGTCCAGTTCACCTCTTTCTCGTGTAACGTCCGGTGTACCCCAAGGTAGTGTTCTTGGCTCCTTGCTGTTTTTAATATACGTTAACGACCTTCCTGCTAACGTAACATCTGAAATTCGCCTCTTTGCTGACGATTGTGCTCTATACAGACCGATGAGTAATAATAATGATCACCTACTCTTGCAGGCTGACTTACTAATAATAGATGAATGGTGTCAAAAATGGCAAATGACAGTTAACGTAAATAAAACGAAACTATTGTCTCTCACCAGATCACAGTCCCCATCACTCTTTTCATATCAACTCAACGACACAATTATTTACCCCTGTACATCTTATAAATACATCGGCATTCATTTAACCTGTGATCTATCTTGGACAACTCACATTAATTTTATTTTATTTAAGGCTAATTCATCATTAGGATATCTTCGGCGCAACCTCAAACTGGCCTCACCTGAAATTAAAAAATTTTCATATATTGAATTTGTTAGATCTCGTCTAGAGTATGCGCCTTCTGTATTGTCCCCATGGCAGCATTACCTAGTTATGAAATTAGAGGCAATTCAAAACCGAGCTTTAAGGTTCATTTTCTCAGACTACTCTCGTTTCACTAGCGTAACAGGCCTAAGGAGCAAAGCTAACCTTCACACACTCTCATTTAGGTGCATTCTTTCTCGACTAACCCTGTTTCATAAATTATACTATAACAATGCCTCTATTAGAGCATCCCTCTTCCTTCCACCCCACAGAATATCTCTCCGACATGATAACTCCCGCAAAGTTCTCACGATTTTTAGTTCAATTGTAGTATATTATAATTCCTATCTGCCCATGAAAATCAAGGACTGGAATTAATTACCCGATAGCGTTCTAACCGACACTAACTCTGATAGATTTCCCGAAGAACTGATCAATTACCCGGAACTTACAAACATGTCTGTCTGCTAATTTTTTTCCCTTCCTTTTTACTGTTCTAAGTGCATACCGTTAAAATATTAATAATATTGTGTAATGTTGACAACTACTTGTATGTTTTTGTTCTTTGATTCATCTGTATTGCTGACTTCCTCTCTGTGAGTGTTAATTTATTTTAAACTATGATTATTAGTGTGTTATTGACCCCCTTGCATAATGCCCTAACGGGCCCTCAAGGAATAATAAATGAATTAATGAAATCAAATAAAAACGCAACTACGGCAGCCGTTAGTAAAAATTAGTAAGGTCAGTAACCATCCTGCATCTGCACAAGCAAATGTTAAGGTTTTTTAAAGGTTAGAATATCAACTACAAATTTTTCGTCAGGCTTTAGAATTTCGGAAAGATAATGGTTTTTTGCTTTCTCTTCCTCACAGACTGGAAGATCTTTCTCGGCGACGCAATTTATTGTTTTATAAATTAAATGACTGGCCATCTGTATATTAGCTAAATTCGAGGATAATGTATGCTCTCTGCTTTCTCAAGTTCTCAAGCTCAATCATTCAGAAACAGATATTCGCGCAAACCGACTTGACGCGTGTTTACGAAACAAGTATCGA